TAGTGGTTATCACGAGTCCCAGCATCAGACAGTGGACTTGGTACATTCTCAAATGTTTCGCCATTCTCCGCACCAAGATACGAACTCGTCAAAATCTTGTCTCTTTGACGAGTTTGTAGCTTGGTGCGGAGACTGGCGAAACGTTTAAGAATGTACCAAGTCCACTGTCTGATGCTGGGAATCATGACAACTGCTATGGCAAACGACTTCGGACTAGGTGCGTTCTACATAGTCGCCATGACAACAAGACCAAGTTGCGAAAACGAGGTCAACCCACTTCGATAAATCCACGTTTAGTTTCCGAAGCGACCAACTCACGAATTCCTTTCAACTAACTGTCCTTTCGAGATAAAGAAACATGCCACAATCAAGTTAAAAGGTCTTGATTTGGTATAATAGTGACATCTGCTCTGAGACCCAATGGCAAGTGGACATGATGCGTGATTGTGCATGTTATAAGATCACCCGGTTTCGAATCCTGTTAGGAGCGCTGAAGAGGCGGTGAGGCAAAGTGAATTTGAACCTTCAGTCTAGCTCGCATGTGAACGCTTTTTGAAAGACGAGAAAAAGGAATAATCGTGACACTCCTTGTTCATTTGACCGACGGTCACTTCGACCACCAATACTTGCATCACCTTAACTAACCTAAAGTTGCTCAACTCACATTGTGGAGGAAATAGCTCAAGGAAAATTACTTGAATAATAATTTGCTGATAGGGAAATTTTTCCCGCCATCATATGGATGCGCCACACGACGCCATTACATTTCCTTAGCCTTACCTCCTTATAGAATTTCCCATCCGTGGAGACAGCAGGTTTAATCATACCACGCAACAAGAGTCCGGGTCGTGGTTGGGCTTTATGGTGAGATGTTGACATTTCGGAAGGTAACCAGTAATGCCAGTCGGTCACGGATCGGATTAAACTTTCACAACAAGCCAACCAACTGCAAAGTCCCACTTGTAGTGGGAATAACGACGGGTCAAAAATGAATTCACAATTTAAAATTGTATCAGACAGAATGCCATAGTGATTAGTGTGAATCAACTTTTTGTTTGAAATGGACAGTTGAGTCACGTAAACTCACTATGAGATTATGCGAAAATCAATTATTAATCGTGAATACAAGTTTGTGATTTAACTTTTCCTTCAAAATGTACAGTTGAGTGACACGAACTCACTATGGAAATGTGCGAAACCCGGACAAAAGCAATGACCCGTGCGAATAAGTGGTCTGTTTGTGAGTTGTGAGTCTGCCCTTTTGTTACTACATCTCCAGCCTAGTCGCCTGTTGTCATGCCTTCTGTGGTGAAGTTGAACTTCAGTTTGACTACATAAACTACAACCTACCACACTTTAGGCATTGTAGAGAATACACAACGAATATGACTTGTGTGTTTTGTTTATTGGTGCGACAGTGTCTGTACATTCCCTGTTGATGGGCTTCTTCACTGCTGAACTTACAAACATTTCGTGTGAAAGTGTGCACTGACAAGACTCTCAGAACTATCTCACCACATGATGACAATGAATTCCTCATGGTCTCCTATTTGACACGATGGGCCCCCTTCAATGTTCAGTGAAAGCGTGTGATTTAGATGATGGATAACTCCTATTGGCCAGATTTCGTTTGGCCTTACTGGAACTTTCTGGTTGACGTTGTTCACAGACAATCGCCCTCGATTTCGGTGAAACGTGTGTCATATGACGGAATATTATTCTTACAACCCTAGTCAAGCTAATGATTGTAGAAGATTCATCGGTTTGCCCATAAATAATGTATTTATATTTCTTCTTTTTCGGCTTTTTGGGATATACATATGCACATATCCCAAATATATGCATTTTGATGAGGGATATCTCAATCCAGTAATGTGTGCTCGATTGTATGAGAATGCATATTTGCGTGTGTTTTAGCGTCTATATGCAATACGGTTCTTAAATCAGACATGTCAAAGATTAAATCTCCTGTTCTGATCCTTAAGACCTAATAACTCAAGAGAAAAGCTTTGCCTGAGACTGTTTAAGTCCGTAGATAAGTATGGTTGGGATAATGAAATATGAGTTGTTTTTTTAAGCATGATAATAAAATTACGAAACCATTAGTCCTAACCTTTCAGTCAAGGATCATTGACGTTTAACCCTCCAAGGAAAAGTAAGAGTGGGGTTGCGTAATCTGACATATCTAGTTTGTTTGGTGAGGGATATCTCAACTCAGAAATGTGTGCATGTGTCTGTTTGTGTGATTTTGTGCTTCCATGGGCGTGTATGTGTACGAAACCAGCCATGCTAGTTGAAATTATGAGATCAGAACGTAATATCTGTCCTCGGTCATCAAACTCTAGTTGCCAACATCGCTCTCTCATCCAGATTGGATGAGAACAACTTTTGCGAAAGCATGACTATGTGAAATTCAATGAAAACGTCAGCTCATTGTGGAACAATTATTCTTCTACCAGTCCTTCATCACCTTACACGAAATTGGGTGAATACATCTCATATTACTTAATTTCACATTATCTTTGTCTTCAAATATAGACTGTTTCATGAACTCCTTCCAATCAATCTTGTCTTAGATAGACAAGGTCAAGTCAGACATGTCTTTGAAAATCTTTTCTTGCTTCATTTATGTAAAAGTGGATTAACCAAATCGTTTTAGTCGCAGATGTGAAGATCAAGATGGTTTGGTTCTTGGTTGTCTAGGCCAGATTTGACCTCGTATTCACAACTCGTTCGTGTTGTCAAGGTGGCCAGAATGAGCAGACCTTGTTTAAAGTCGTCTGCCAGAGCA